CCCGCTCTGATATCAGACTGTCTCGTCACGCCTCAACCCAATCAGCAATGGTCTGAATTGGAAAGAACGCCGCAGGATCAGCGCGAGGGGCGCGAAGGGCCAGAGCCGCGGCGAGGCGCCCGCCCTTCGCCGGCGACGCGCAAACCCGGGCGAAACACCGTCGGCAGCGTGTGGGCTGGGCCCCGAATGAGCCGTGCACCTGGCGGCCGTGAGCCCCCGCGGGGGGACCGCCCTGGCACGGCAACTTGGACATGGCCTGGCCCTGTCGGTTGACGCGAATAAATAAACCCCCGAATTTTCAAACTCATCAACTTGTGCTTCCGCTCGCGCTGGACTCATGTAGCCCCGCCTCTGCGGTTGCGCACAAAATCAGTGCCTGAATGTGCGGCCTGCGTGGCCGGTTCGATTGAGCATCCAGCTGGCCAGCCGGCCTGGCCCGTCGCGCCGCGGCCCGAGCGTCGTCCGCGCGCACAGATGGCGACGGACTTGGCAGCGACTCTTAGGCGCTGCTGTTGCAACTCCCCGAGCGTGGTAATGGCCGCCTCAGCCAGATCCACCCTGACTGCTCGGCGCGCGCCCTTGACCGCGTCGGAGACACCGTCGATCCACAGTCGTGGCTCAAGGCTCAAGGCGTGGATGAGCCGTCGCGACGTTGGCCGTGACGTAATAGTCATCGTCGCGGCGAACTGCGTGCCCGCCCTAAGACCTTGGACAACGCTCAAGGACGGGTCGAAGGGCGTGGGAAAGGCACCCTCCTGCTCGATGACTCTGGGGGGGACGCGCTGCAACTGCTCGAGATATAAGATGGCGGGAGGGAGGTCCTGAACAAGGGCGGCGTCCACCAGGGTGCCCCGCGGGATGCAGTCGTGAACGGATTCAATATTTCACCGGAGAAAAACCCGAACCAGTGGATGGTCCAAAAATTTTGCAAGCACCATGTCCAGCCGCAGTTTCGCGAGAGGGCCCTGGGAGGCAGAAGCGTGGACTGCCCGTGCGCGGTGGGGGGGTTGCGGCGTCCTCGCAGATTCGAGCATCATCCGTCAGCTCAGGATCGCCCGGGAAGTCTTCAATATTGCAGTGGGGCGACGCGCGACGGGCCCCAGATGGCCTGGGCGGGCCTCCGGAGGCGCGAGGAAGAGCGAGACGTGCATGAAGAAATGCCAGGAGAGAGCGAGAGAGAGAGAGGGAGAGGGAAAAAAAAAGAGAGGGAGAGAGCGAGAGAGGGAGGGAACGAGAGAGAGAGAGAGAAAGAGAGAAACAAGCAAATCAGAGAGAGAGAGAGAGACACTAAGAAAGAGATAGAGGAGAGAGGAATGACACGCAGAGAGAGAGAGAGAGAGAGAGAGAAAAAAGAGAGAGAGAGAGAGAGAAAGAGAGAAATATTGCATAACGCGGACAAAACATCGTGAATTATATGATTAGAAAATGTATTGCGCATCAATGTGAGATCGGTATAAAGAGCCGGCAACAAAAATACAGAGAGAGAGAGAGAGAGGGAGAGAAAGAGAGAGAGAGGGACCGAGGGGAGAGAGAGAGAGAGAGAGAAAGAGTGTGTGTGTGCATAACGCGAAGAAAAACATCAGACACAATGATTAATTCGATAGTGCGTTGCGCATCGGGGAAACACGAAAGAGTGAGACTGATATATAAAGAAGCCGCAAGAGAGAAAGAGAGAGAGAGAGAGAGCGAGGTAAAGAGAGAGAGAGAGAGGAACAAAAAGAGAGAGGGAGCGCCCACCGACAGCACTGACAAAGCTATGTGCCAAAAGGGGGGACAAGCAAAAGAGAGGGGGGCGCCCGCCGACAGCCGCCCGCCGAAATCGTCCGGCCACTTTCTCTAATCTCTCGAGGGGGCGTCCGCCGAAAGCCGCACGCCGAAATCGGCCGGCCACCTTTGCCAATCTCTTCTTTGGACGCCCGAAATGGGTACGGAAAAAATGGGTACAATGCCCAACAACACATGTTGTCCCAAACCAACAGCGGCCGTTGTTGGGCAGGCGGCCTCCCGCCTCAAATGTCACAGGCCGCGGCGACACCGACAGCGAGTCCTGCTCAAAATGCGCAAGAACTGCCGTTTGGGCATTGTGCCCATTCTTTCCGTACCCGTTTCGCTCGTGCCGATCTTCTAAGTCCGCCAGGGCCCCATCGGCGCGAGCGCTGACCGGGGAATCTGACGTGCCGCGCCCGCGAGAGGCGCCCGCGGAGCGGGCGAGCCCCTCGTCGATCGATCGCGGGCGCGCCCACGGGAGGCGCGCGCTGCAAGGGGGGGGGGGCGCCGCGCCCCGGAACGCGGCGCAGTCTGCGGGCCGCGACCGGGCGCTCGGCTCGCGGAGGAGCGCCCGCAGCCGACCCGGCGCGCCGACGAGGCCGATCGCACGGTCTCCCGAGCTCTCGGGCATGAGCTTGCCTTGGGTCGGGCCTGTCCCCCTGCAGGGGAATTTTGGGCGAAAAAAAAAAGATAGTCGGAAAATACTCCAAAAGTGTCAAACAAAAAATTGAAAAATAGTCCTCCGACTATGTTTTGACTATTTTTGAATGTCCCCCCTGTAGAGGGACAGGCCCGACTTAAAGCTTGCCCGAGACGGTCAAGGTCTGCGCCGTCAGGCCGGCGAAGTCTCGTTGGCCTCCAGGGCGAGGAGCAGCTCGGCCTGCCCCTTGATGTGGGTGCGCTGGAAGTCCAGCGGCGCGCGCACGTCGATGCCCATGCCCGCCTTCGCCTTCATCTTGGCCGCGGCCCTGGAGAGATCCTCCGCGCTCATCCTGGGGGGAGGTTCATCCTCGGTCTTGACCCGAACGCGTCTGAACATGTCGCAGATGTCCGTGGCCTTGGCCGGCCGGGGCGCCCCCGCGTGGCCCGGTGCCTCCTCGCCTTCGCGTCAATGACATCGCGCGCGTGATGGGTCGCCTCGTAGCCTTCAATGATCTTCACTGGTGGCAGCCTGCCCTTCTTGAGGCACTTAAGTGTAAAATCCCGTTCGCATCGGGCTCGACGACCCACTGGCGAAACTCCGATATGGACACCAGCGCTGCCGTGCGCTGGACTCTCCGCTTCGCTGTCTTGGCCGACGCAATGCGCAACTCCGGCAAGTCGTTGGGGATGCTGTCGGGGCTGTGTAGTGAATCGAGCCAGAGCCTGGCCATCGCTCTAACGTCCATTCCCTGCGCTTTTTCCAGTTTCGTGCGGTTTTTTTTTGCCAAATGATCAAGGATGCTCCTCGATGGTCCTCGCTGAAGGAAAAATGCACACGTCCGAGCGATGCCAAGGGCTGTGTAGTGAATCGAGCCAGAGCTGCCAAAGGGGATCCTGGCCATCTACCAACAGCTTGCTGGCGCCATCTGGCCGCGAGCCCAGCGCCTGGCGAGCCGCGTCTATAGATGCTGCTCCAGTTGCCGGGGGCCGTGGTCTCGGATCCGATGTCGCCTTATCCCCGCCCTGGCCATCGCTCGAACGTCCATTCCTTTTTTTTTTTAGGTTTCGTGCGTGGTTCTCGCAGGATGATCCATGATGCTCCTGAATAATCCCCGCAGAGAAAAAGTGCACACGTCCGAACGATACCAAGCGCCAAGATAATGTGAGCCTGGATCCGCCGCCGGGCTTGCTGATCCCGAAGGTGGATGGCGCGCCGGTGGGCCGTTTGGCGCGCCGGCCCCTCGGCGAAAGTTGGGCCTGCTGCGCGCCGTGTCCGAGGCAGCTGAGCCCCATGATGCCGAGTGGTGCTACGTTCAAGCGCGGAGACCTACGCTGCGGACGTTACCGACGCAGCAGAAGACCCCTGAGCGCTTCGAACCGAAGCTGCCTTATGGTCTCAGTGCGCTCCATCTCGTCCCGTGAATTCGAACGCGCCTCGTCCCATTCGATGGTGAGCATTACTCGCGGTTGGGGCGTCGCGGCTGGGACAGTGACGCCCTCCGCACGCGCGAGCGCCTCAGCGGCCAGCTTCTTGGCCGCGGTCGCCTCCACCAAGGCGACCGCTGCGAGCTTCTCCTTACTCCTTGCGGCTTCCAAGCTGGCTTCCAAGCTGGCCTCCTACCTCACTACATTCTCGACGCATTGGCGACGTGGTCGGGGAGGCCGCCGTCTGAGACTGCTGAGTCTTGTCGATCTGGGCCGCCTGCAGGGCACGCGTCAACACAGCATCCCCCGCGGCAGGCACAGCCTGCTCCAGGAGGCTGGCGACCGCCTCGCTCTCGCGCTGCCCCTCGGGCCCTTGCGCCGAGGCGTACTGGCGGCGTTGGCGCCCAGGGCGGGGTGCCCGCGAGCGAAGCCCCCTCCTCCGCCCCCTGCAGGTCGGCCCAGCGGACGCGAAGCTCGGCGGAGGCCGCCCTCGTGAACAACATCAGCGGGGTGGCTGCAGCCTGAGCACCTGCAGCCGTTCTACGACGGGACCCCGTTCCGCTCGCGTGCGCGGCACGGGGGGCAGAGCGTCTGAGGAGGAGGAGGAGGAGGAGGAGGAGGAGGAGGAGGAGGAGGAGGAGGGGGAGGAGGAGGAGGAGGAGGGGGAGGAGGAGGAGGAGGAGGAGGAGGAGGAGGAGGAGGAGGGGAGGGAGGGGCCTTTGACCCCAACTCTGCCCGGGATCGGGGCGCCGTCCTGTCAGAATGCCGACCCTCTGGCATCCGACGACGACGGAGCTTCCCGCCCACACGGCCGCCCGCGCCCCCGACGCAGGACCTATCCTGAAACGCGCTGTGACTGGGATCTCGAAGCGGATCCAGCCGAGGCGACGAGGGCCCCCCCCCCAAAGGCTGGGCACAAAACTGAAGCGTCCCTCTCCTCCTCCTCTTCTTCCGCCTCTAACTCCTGCTCCTCCTCCTCCTCCTCCTCCTTTTTCCTCCTCCTCCTCTTGTTTTTCCTCTTCTTATGTTTGCTATTTTCTTAGTCCTCCTCGTCTTCCTCCTTCTCTTCTTCCTCCTCTCCCTCTTCTTCCTCCTCCTGTTCTTTTTCTTCCTGAACTCCTCCAACGCCTCCCCCCCGCCGCCGCTCGCGGGTCACGTCGGGACACCTCGTCGCAGGTCCACAGCTCCTCCACGCCATTCTCGTTCGCGATGCCCTTGGTGGGGCTGCATGACTGCATGCAGTGGCCGAAGGTGAGGTTCTTAGCGTAGCACTGCATACCGTCGTCCTCGCCGAGGGCAGCGATACAACGACGGCGGGAACATGTTCGCAGGAATTCGTACTGCTGCCATGGGGAGGGAATGCACTTCCTCCGCTTCCTACTCCTTTGCGTCCTGATCACGATCATGATCATCACCGCGATGATCATCGTCGTCACCATCACCAATATCATCATCATCATCATCATCATCATCATCATCATCATCATCATCATCATCATCATCATCATCATCATCATCATCAACCACATCATCATCATCATCACCATCCTCCTTCTCCTCCTCCTCATCATCATCATCGTCAACTTCGTCACCATCACCATCCTCATCACTATCGTCATCACCATCATCGCCACAACCATCATCACCATCATCATCACTACCATCATCATCACCATCATCATCATCACCACCATCATCACGGCCATCACCGTCATCATCACCATCATTACCATCATCATCATCATCGTCACACTCGTCATACTCATTACGATAATCATGATCCTGACCATGGTCTTCATCACCATTACCATGATCATGCATATCAACATCAACATCACCATCAACATCAACAACAACAACCGCCACCATCATCATCAACACCATCAATATCATCATCCTCACCACCATTGTCACCGCCATCAGCATTTACAATTTCATCACCATCATCACCATCACCAACACTATCACCATCACCGTCACCATCATCAATAGCATCATCGCCGTACTCTCCTCTGACATCCGCACCACAACCAACATCATCACTACCATCATCGATATCATATTATATGATCCTCCCCCACCGCGTCCTCATCCTCCGTCTTCTCCTCCTCCTCCTATTTCACCACCTCACTCTCCTCCTCCTACTCCTCATCCTCCTTTTCCAACCTCGTCCTCCTCCTACTCCGCCTCCACCTTCTCATTGTCCTCATCGTCAAATTCCTTGTCGTAGTCGTCGCCATCGATATTGGCATCGCTTCTTGTCTTCATCTCCATCTCCATATCCAACTTCATCATCGTCAACACTATCATCATCACCGTCATCACCATCATCAGCATCATCATCACCATGATCACCCCATCATCATCATCATCATCATCATCATCATCATCATCATCATCATTATCAACATAATCCTAATCCTCGTCGTCGTCATTACCACCATCATCATCATCGTCATCATCATCATCATCATATCCATCACCATCATCATCAGCATGACCATCATAACCGCCATCGTCATCGTCGTCATCATCAACCTCGTCGTCGTCTTCATTACCATCTTCATCATCAGCAACACCATCAACATCAACATCAACATCCACATCACCGTCATCAACATCATCATCAACACCATCATTACCACAATCATCATCATCATCATCATCATCATCATCATCATCATCATCTACCTCGTCATCGTCATCGTCGTCGTCATTACAACCGTCATCATCATCATAATCAGTATCATCATCATCATCACCATCATCATCACCACTGCCATCATCATCATCATCATCATCATCATCAGCATCATGATCATCGTCGTCATCATCATGACCATCATCATCATCATCGCCTCTACCATAATCATAAGCATCATCACCACCAAGATCAACATCACCACCACCACCATCATCATCATCATCACCATCATCACCATCATCACCATCATCATCACCACCATCACCACCACCATCATCACCATCATCATCATCATCAGCGTCATCAGCATCAGCATCATCACCATCACCATCACCATCACCATTACCATCACCATCACCATCACCATCACCATCATCATCATCATCATCATCATCATCATCATCAACAACAACTAAATCGTCACCACTACCGAGACCCGCAACCAGTTTTGGCTCAGCGGCCCCCGAGCGGCAGCGGCCTGCCGATCGGGCCGCACGGCGGTGGCCGCGCGGCAGGCCACGGCCGCGGCGGGTGGCGGCCGCCGTGCGCTCCCTCCACCGCCGAAGCGCCGGGCGCCGCTGGGAACGGCCCCCTCACGGAGGAATCGGGGGGCTGCTGGTGGATGGGGTCGGTGGTGGTCTGCTGTTTTTGCAGTCTTCCGCAGTCGTGTAGGCTCGAGCTGAGCAAGCATCAAGTCGACTCGCCACGCAACCGGTGAATGAGCTCCGAGACCAGAAAATGGCTTCGATCATCTCTCGCACGATTCCGTTGTTTGGGGGGCTGCTGGAGGTGTCCTTCCGCCCAGAGGGCACGGGCCCCCGCCACGCTGCAGGGCGGCGCGGGCGGCGGTCAGAGGGGCGGGCGCCGCGCCACCCACGGCGCGCACGGCGGCGCAGGCTGCGACAGGCTGCGACAGGCTGCGACAGGCTGCGACAGGCTGCGGACGGCGCAGGTTGCCAGAGGTGTCCCTGGCCCAAGGTGTCCCCAGCCTCTCGCGCCGCTCGGGGGCTCTCTGGGCCTCGTCGACCTGGGGTGCTCTGGAGGCTGCGGGCGGCTCCCTGGGAACATCCAGGGGGGCGCCTTGAGCCAAGGGCACCTCTGGCGACATCCCAGCGCCAGAGGATGAGGATGATAAGGAGGGAGAGGAGGAGGAGGAGGAGGAGGAGGAGGAGGAGGAGGAGGAGGAGGAGGAAGATGAGGAGGAGGAGGAGGAGGAGGTGGTGGTGGAGGACGAGGAGGCCCAAAACTGTTGTCACCTCTTTGGGGCCGATGTTTGCTTCCGCCGTCTTCCGCTCGCGGAGGCGGTTTCGCTTTACTTCCGCCGCCTTCCGCCGCGGAAGAGTTGCTTTCCATCCTTCATTGGACCAGAACACAAACGACACCAACCCACCTACGGCCCCACGGGGCTCAACGTATGCCAGGAAATCAGGCACGGGCGTCTGCGTGGTGTGCGCTGCGGCCCCCGATGGGCCGCAGCACAGCACGGAGACGGAGGGCCGCAGGTGGGGTGGTGTCGTTTGCTTGTTCGTCGATTCATCTAGGACTCTCAGCGTGGAGCCCAAGCAATGAAGTGGTTCGGGGATCTTCTGACCCAGGTCAATCCAGACCCGGGTCAGTCAGCCCTTGCAGAATCCTGCAAGACCCTGCACCCAAACCCGGGTTTAATGCGAAGGATCCTGCAAGATCTTGCAGGATCCTGCACCCAAACCCAGGTCGATGCGACCCTGGCCCTGCGGGATCCTGTAAGATCGGGCGCTCTGGCTGACACCCGTTTGCATTGACCCCCGTCTCAAAGCTCCCGACGGTGCAATGACTTTGGACGCCCGAAATGGGTACGGAAAGAATGGGTACAATGCCCAGCAACAGTTGTTGTCCCAAACCAACAGCGGCCGCTGTTGGGCAGGAGGCCTTCTGTTTCGAATGAACACAGGCCGCGGCGGCGTGGACAGCGAGTCCTGTTCAAAATGAACAAGATCCGATGTTGGGCATTGTACCCATTCTTTCCGTGCCCTGTTCGTTTGTGCAGAGTGACGAGAACGGCCAGCCATTCGGTGCCCAGTTCCCGCCCCAGCCACCCCCGCGTGCGCAGTCGGCCTTGCGGAGGTCTCCGCTGCCCCCATCCCTGCGCACGCGCGAGGAGGCGCTGGAAGCGGACGAATCTGAGCCCGCCACTCCCCTCGTCCCCAACCCAACTCACCCCTTCCTCGCACCCTCCCTCCTGATCCTCCTTCTGCTGCTCCGCCTCTTCCTCATCCTCTTCCTTCTGCTCCTCCTGCTCCTCCTCCTCCTCCTTCTCCTCCTCCTCCGCCTCCTCCTCCTCCTCCTCCTCCTCCTCACCCCCTGTCCTCCCCCTCACTGCTCCTCCTCCTTGCTCCCCCTCCCCTCCTCCAACAGATTCCGCCTCTTCCTCCTCCTCCTCCTCCTCCTTTCTTCTTCCTCCTCCTCCTTGTCCTCCTTCTCAGGCTCCTCCTCCTCCTCCTCCTCCTCCTCCTCCTCCTCCCTCCCCCCCCCTCCCGAAGCGGCGGAAGGGCGGGACCCCAAGAGGGGGTCCTTGCAGCATGCGGTCCGCAGGCAGTTCTCCTCGCCTGCGCGGGGGGAGGGGGCGCGAGAGAGTTGTGCACTGGTGGGGGGTGGGACCCTGCTGCTGCTGCTCCTCCTCCTCCTCCTGCTCCTCCTGCTGCTCCTCCTCCATTCTCCTCTTCCTCCTGCTGCTCCTCCTCCTCCTCCTGCTCCTCCTCCTCCTCCTCCTCCTCCTCCTCTACTCCGCCTCCTCCTGTGCTTCTGCTGCTGTTCCTCCTTCTCCTCCTCCACCTCCTCCTCCTGATTCTCTTCCTCCTCCGTTGTTTCCTCGTCGTCCTCCTCCTGCTCGCCTCCTCGACGACGACGGCCACGACGACGACGACGTCGACGAAGCTGGCAAGGGCGGTGAGATGCGGCCGACGACGAGAGGCCGACCGTGGGATGCCTGTCGCCGAGCACTTCTCGCCCACCCACGCGGCCTCCGGCTGGGACATCTCCGCCGCCGTCCCTGGCGTCCGGGGCCCCAGCTCCTGGCTCGGGGAGAGGAGGGAGGAAGAAGAAAAAGAAGAAGAAGACGGAACATGATCACGGAGGAGGGAAGAGAAGGAATGCGAGTACGGAGGAACAAGACTGATGAGGATCACGGAGGAGAGGGAGCGGGATCGAGGATCGATCTCTTTGGTTCTGAGAGGGCGGGGGAGCGGGATCTGCTTTTCACTGGCGTTGGGGATGATGCGCAAGCCAGGGGCAGGGCACCGGTCTTGAAATAGCGATGGCAGCTGGTCAAATATATCCCGTCGCAGGAGGCTGTGCCTCCTCAGCCCGCCTGAGCCGACTCCAGCATCCCCCACGAGCCTTCCCTGAAACGCCCCGACAGGCTGAGTTAGGAGCTCAGGAGCTCCTCGTAGCCCCCGGGGGCCACCCTGATGCTTTGGGGGGCCTCTTTCGCCGTCTTGGAGACCTTGGGGGCCAGCTCGCGCGGCCCAAATCACGGACCCTTTTGTTGGCTTTCTGCACACTTGGCTCCTCGGTCTTTCCGGTGTCCAGGACGGCCCAAGAAGCCTCCAAGATCCGCTCAGGAGGGCCTCCGAGGTCCCCCAGTGGCAGGGGAGGCTCCCAAGAGGCCTTCCAACATGCCCTCGACAGGTGGGGGCGCCCGATTGCCACTCAGACCCCTCCAGTCCAATATGGCCGACGAGACAGCCAGCATGTCCCCCCAAGGGGCCCGAAATATGCTCCCAGCGGTGCCCAACTGCGCCCGCTGGAGATCCCAAATACGCCTCCAAGAGGCCTCTAGTCCACGACTCAGGCAAGGTGGCGGGATGGGCCGCAGGTCACTGGATGATTAGTGGGTCTTCAACACCTGACACATGACCCCTGTCCTACTCCTCAGATCGCAAGCGACTGCAAACCGTGTATATAAACATCTTTGCATACATACAGCTAGAACGCCAGAGAAAGCAATAGAGCAACGGAAGAGAGAGAGAGAGAGAGAGAGAGCGAGAAGTATATGGACAGAGAAAGAGAAAAAGCGAGAAAGACATACACATACATATTTTATTAAGCCAGGGATGACAGTCTCAAGATACCACCAAATTTACTGTACAGGTGTGCACACATGCGGCGCTAACCACAAGAAGAAAAGTCACGACGAGACGCGCCTATAACTCGTCCGTCGGCCCGTCGAGCAGGAGCCGTGGCAATCTGATGGCTGCGGCCTGCCCGCTGGGCGTCGCGACGCAATTCGCGATCAACCAAGTCAAGTTGCTGAACAGTACGATCACTGAGGCGAGCACAGTGAGCGAGCACAAACGTTCGACACTTAGGCCGACGTGTGTCGGATAAGTGAGACACGAGGCGAAGGCGCGAGACAAAATCCGTGCCACAACATGGGCACCTGGACCCAGACACATAGAAGCGCAATTCATTCCGCTTCCCGTGCTTTGCGCGCTGGTGGGATTGGAGTGCGCGAGACGAGCTGAAGGCTTCGCCGCACTCGCAAACATAGGCCACATGTTTCGTAACAAGACTCCGTGCAAGACGTATCGTGAGTTTCCAAAGTGATCGGCATCCTGTATGGAATTTTCATGTCATTATTATTTCCCGTCCCCACGGTCACTGCAAGCACCCCGCCGTTGATAGAACCACTGTTGCGAGATGGCTCTATTGACCCAACTGCATTCCTACGCCCTTTCGAAGGTAACCCGAGAAGTTTGTGCGTTTGAGTGTGCGCCCATAATGTCTGCGTCTGGAGAATAACACCGAGCGACCCGGATCGGCGGCACTGGCCGAAGGCCACTACAATATATATATATATATATAACACGGGAAAGAGAGAGAGAGAGAGAGAGAGAGAGATAGAGAGAACGAGAGAGAGAGAGAGAGAGAGAGTTGGGTGCCGAGATCGTGCGGGCGTGGCGATCGCAGACTCATGCGCCACGAACCGAGACGGGCAGACACACACAAACACAGACACAGAGACACAAAGACGCAGAGACACAGCGGCACAGAAACACACAGACACACACGGACACAGACACACGGACAGACAGACAGACAGACAGACAGACAGACAGACAGACAGACAGCCAGCCAGCCAGCCAGCCAGCCAGACAGACAGACAGACAGACAGACATACAGACACACATACACACAGACAGACACAGACACAGAGGCTCAGCGACACAGCGACACAGCGACACAGAGACACAGAGACACAGCGACACAGAGACACAGCGACACAGAGACACAGAGACACAGAGACACAGCGACACAACACAACAGCGACGCAGCGACACAGCGACATAGAGACACAGAGACATGGAGACACACACACACACAAGCGCACACAAGCACACAACCACAATCACACTCACAAAACACACGCAAACAGACAAACGCCAACCAGCGTACTCTGAGCTGTCAGCCACAAGTGGTACACAGGTGAGCCTGCAGAGGAGAGGGATCACTCCACCAAAGGCAGGGCCCCGTCGGCGCCAGAGCAACGCGGAGAAGCGGTGCGCTCCTTGCAGGACCACGGGTCCGGGTTCAGGTCGAAGTAGTTGGAGCCCGCATCGCACGTCGCCTTGCACGTCGCCCAGCCTGCCGCAGAGGACGGGAGGCGGGGAGGAGCTGGGCCACCCAGCTTCGCGCATCGCGCCCGGCGACGCGGGACCCGAGGTCATCTTCGCGCCTCCTCCGTGCCGCCCCCCTCGAGAAGGGCAACTCTGAGGCCCAGACCGCGACGCGCGAAGGGCGGTGGTCTTCGCGCCTCCGGGGTAACCTGGGGGGGGGGGACGGCCTGGCATGACCGCGCACAGTGCCATCCCTCACCGCTAAGAGCAATGAGGCAACGAGCCCTCGTCGACGACAGCAGAGTGTTGGGTTCCCCTGGCGCAACTTAGCTGCTCAGGCCTCGGTGGATCAAGCGGTACGACTGACGTGACGGACAGAACGTCGTAAAACATGTCGCTCACGCCAGCTGGCGCTCGCGCGACGAAGGCCGACCGACTTCAAGCCGCAGCCAAGGAAATGCTGCGAGCGAAACTCATCTTTGCAGCGCGCGTCGGCTCAAATCCGCCGCGACAGCTGATGTGCGCACCCGACGCGGGCACAACTGAAGCCGTGGCGAGGCAAATGCTCGAGCGTGTGAAAGGGCGCTGCGTCACAGTCACAGATGCCGGGTGGACCTCCCTCCCCCTCTTCCCTCCTCCCTTCCTCTGCCCCCGCACCCCTCCGCTTCTCCCAACCCTTCCCCCCTTCCTTCCCTCCTCTCCCGCCCCGCTCCACGAGCCATGCCAGTGCTCTCGGGCCCTGCAACCCAAACCCTCCTAACTAACCTTTCCCCTCCTCCCCCTCCCTCCATCCCACCTCCCTCTTCCCTCCCTCCTCCCCCCCTTCCGCCCCACGTGCTAGCGCTCTCGGTGCCTCTCCCTCCTTCTCTTTCCCTGCCCCTTCCCTCCCCTCGTTCCCTCTCCCCATTTCCTCCCTAACCTTCCTTTCATGCCCTCCCCTCCGCGATCCCTCCTCTGACCCTTTCCTTCCCCCTTCCCCCCCCCCTCCCCCCCTCCCCTCCCCGCCGCTATCCCCTTCGCTGAACCAGGAGCGAGGGGACGGAGAAGGAAGGGAGGGATGGGGGGAGGAGGGATGACGCGGAGGAGGAGGAGGAGGAGGAGGAGGGAGGAGGAAGAGGAGGAGGAGGATAATCAGGAGGAGGAAGAGGAAGGCGGAGGAGGATCTCACACGC